AAGAAAAATGAAGATAATAAGGATGATGAGGACGATGAAAACGTAGATGAGCACACTCACTCAGATAATGATGCGCATGACGAATTATAAATAAATGTGTGAACACAAACACAGACTGTATTCCAGGAGCTGTGGTTGCGATACGCGCTAAATTCTCCCACAAGCACAAAATTGTAATCTAAAAATAAAATAGCAAGAAAGCAGGATAATATCCTTGTTGATTATGTCGCCCGTCCATAAGAATATCATATTGAATTCCGTTTTAAGCTTTTAAATAAAGAAATCTCGTCTGGTTTTGCCAATGTTTTTGGCCTTGGTATCACAGCACCTAAAACATTCTTAGCTGCCCAAAAACTAGTATTCGAATGAATTTATTATTTTGAAATATTATACGCTTAGCTCAAGTGATCTACATTTCTGCAAAGTGTGTGCTGGAAAGAACAGATATTAGAAAATAGAAAATACAAAAAGAGAAGTGTAGAGAAACAAAAGAATCATCTAGCCCGTGTCACCATTGGCGCAGCTCCACAAGAGACTCTTATGCCCGTTTCCACCAATATAAAGATTAATTTTAATCTCGGTTCAATTTACTCTTCGTCTTTTTCTAGTTCTAAAGATTAGAAAAAGACGAAGAATAAGTTGAACAGAGATTAAATTTAATTTACATTGGTGGAAATAGACATAAGTTGTTCCATTTTTGTTTGTCAAGTATTTTTATATACATTAAAAGGTAATTAAGATGTAATATAAATAACACGATGCTATATAATATATATAATATATTATATATAATATATACATTATTTCAATTTCCGTACAATGTACATGTAATTCAAAGGAAAAGAAAATCACTTCAATTATTAAAAAAAAAGGGAAAACGTAAGAATGATAGATGTGCAAATGTGACTGAGTGATTACAATTGGTATGATTATGTATCAGAGGCAATTCAATAATCATGTAATAAAATAAGATTTTTCTTTTTAACAAATAAAAAGAAAGATATACAAAACAAATGAAGATATACAAAAAGAAAGATATACAAAAAATAGATAAAAAAAAATGTCATGGTTCATTTTACCATTCTTATGGTATCATGCGTTCCTCGTCCTGATGAAGTGAACGGCATGGTTCCCGAAATGTTGGCATTATAATGGATAGAAACACGACGATAATCCACAAATCTTCTAATATCTTTTAAGAAAAATATATAAAAAGGATTCTACCTCTAAATCCTTTTTCAGCCGATTTCTTATCGATTTGGATTTTTAAAAAAATCTTCGTTTATTATATAAACTTCGAAATTTACTAAATCTATATCCTAAAAATTCTTTAAAAAATGCTTTAAAAAATCTTTAATAAATATGTATACGTATGCAATTAAATATATATATATATATATAATAAAAAATAATAAAAGAACCCTACTAACGTTTCAATTCATCTTTTTAAAATCGTTAGTTTTGAATAGTACTTATTTAAAAAAACAAGACTGATTGAAAACATCTACGAAGTCAAACGTTTTTCTGGCAATTTTTGGCAATTCTAGCTGTTTCACGAAAAAAATTCAATTGAATAAAAGATCGACAGTTCAACTATTCCCTGATGAAAATAAAAATCGGAGCGTAAATCAGATGTAATTGAAGAATAACAGAAGCGTAAACAACAAAACTCGTAGAAGGCGAAAATTGAAACAATGAAATGTAAAAGAAGCATTTACGCTTCTTTTACATTTTGATGTTTCAATTTTCGTTTCTATTACTTTCCCATTACTTTCGACTTACGTTCTGATTTTTATTTTCGTCAGGGTTGACCCGCACTCGTCATCATTCTCCTGAAAGTTACTATAAATATTGAAGTTACTAGTGCTTCTATCCCGGACCTGAAGCAGTTTATGCGCGCATTTTTCTTACTAACACAATATTATTGGACTTCACAGATAAAGCAATATGCGGCCACTGTGCGCATATGCAGGATACTGAAATGCTCTCTTGACGCATATGCGCGCCGATATCAACTCATTCAGTTAAATGGAGATCCCGCGAGTATAAGGAAAGTGGCACGAAAGTATTCATGTCCATGAAATTGCGGAAGGCTCGCCATTAAGCAGCGGATCTTTTCCCACATTGTCGGTCGGTCGCGATTCGCGGATCGAATGCGAAGCTTCGCTAGAAGTCGGGGCTGAGCACGACTGCGCGCCGAATTGATGTTTCGGAACGAGCCTTCAACCAATCGTGGGAAGCGAGCGGCTCGCTGATGCCGCCCCAACATGGCGTCGCGGCTTCCGCTCTTTCTCCCTCACCCTTTGTAACGCGTTTACGCGACATTTTGCAACGGCTGCTTCATTTATTGGTACGTCATTCTCTCCGCAATTTGACTCTTCCATGCTCGTCCTTTCTGCGTGCAGCGACAAACGTATTGTAAAATGTAAAAATTACAGTCTAATATAACATTTTTTATCAGACAATAAAATATGAATAGTAACTAAATAATAAAGTACTTAATTATTAAAGACTCCTTTACTTAACAATAAATAGTAAAAATAATATGAGCTAAAGGGCCATAGGAATTGGCGCTATAACTAGATTGCGCCGATTCCTATGGTCCTTTAACTCACATTATTTTTACCACTTATTGTTTATCAGATAAGTACATATAATATATAAATAAAAAAAAGATAAATTTTGATTTTTAAATATATTTTTTATTTAAAACGAGTCATTGTAATGATTCTTTTTTAAATAAAATTAAATGAAAAATAACAAAAGAAAGAAAAAATTATAATTTTACAATGATTTCTTATTATCAAGATTTAATTTTTTAATCTCAGTAGTCTTCTTTCCTCTTTTTATTTTTATTTTTTTTTTTTTCTTTCATTTCCTATTTTCTTCATTATCTTTTCCTTTATATAATTTTTTTTATATTCTACTTATTTTTTCTTTGTATTTTCTTCTTAATGGTCTAATGTATATTTTTAAAAGGCTTGCCTTAGAACATTAATAAATGCCTTATCTATCTACTCTCTCTGTTCCTTATGTATAAAATTTTAAATAATATTAAATAATGTTAATGGAAAAGATGGAGCACTTTATTATTTATTTATGACATCCTTCGGGCGTTATCGCAATTTGATCTAAAAAGCTTTATCTTTAATTGGGATTGAAATCTGTTATAGAATAAGAAATATATCCATAATTCACAAAATTCATTTAGGTACTTGAATTCTATACTCGAATACGTCCTGTACACTTATTATTTCGTTTTAATCGGGCTATTCAATAATAATCTCAAATTTCCATTTTGTAATCAAGCGAATGCATTATTGGAACAAAACGCATTAATTCATCCATCTTCACATTAATGTACAAAGAAGTTGAAATAAAAAAGAATATTTTATGTGGATTTGATACAATATACCTACACATTGCGAGGAGCGTAATTATCGAATAATCGTATCTTCTCGATATGTTCCTCGCGAATATGATTCGTGCTTGCGATTCGCTATATCTTTGACAAGAGTCAGCGATTTCGACGCGATATCGTTCTCTTGACCCTAATTCTTGACATCCATCCTAACCGGTGATTAAGCGATCGAGCAAAACAATGGTTGCTTAACGCGTCTCACAAAGCGCTACGTAAGTGCAATTACATAATAATTCGTCCGCGGCCGACATTCGATTTGTCACGACTTTTTTACAGGTCGAGTAAGCATCTGCCATCGAAATCAGTTTGTACGTATTTAAAAATTTATAATATATTTTTAAAAATTAAGTTGGATAATGGCAAAAAATGCTAGGTAATTTTTTTTCATGTCAGAAATTATAAAACTCATTAAAAGGATTTGTGAAATCCTTATGCAAAATATTTGAATGCATCAAGAGATACGTTTTCAGTCTCAATTAATGAAAGACAAATCATGATGAAGAACTATGATTATCTTGATCGTTGGAACTACATTCAATTTAATTTTAAAAACGATAAAAAATAAAAGAATCTCAGGAACTTAAGCCTTAATATAGGAATTTAATAAGCCACAATATAAAATATTATTTGAATATGGACAGAAAGATTAAAACAGTGTGCGAAACGCTATTAGGATAAATTTAATTTTTCATAGATATCTTCTTTTGTTCTTTGGATACTTTATTTTATCATTTTTTCCGAGATTTTTCACTGTTTTTCTTTTCTCTCTCTCTCTCTCTCTCTCTCTCTCTCTCTTTTTCTTAAAATAAATTACGAGGAATTTATTGTTCATTTGCTATAATAGTGATTCAAAAACAAAGTATTCTAAAAAATAAATTTGAATGTTTCAAATTATTAAAATTTTGTAATATTAATTATAAAATGCAATTTTGGTGTAATAATTAGTTGTAGAAGAATAGAAATAGTTTTTTAATTATTATAAATATATTTTTTCTTTACGTTTTTATTTTTTTCTGCGTGCAATTAAATTAAAATCACAATTTTGTCATGTTGTTATAATAAATGTGTGAATAATTGCGATGATAATAATTGTATTACAAGGCAATAAAATTAATAATGTAAGAAATCTATATTATTTATTTCTTCTTCAGAAGTTCTGAAATTGTTAGAAAAAAATAGCGAAATCTAATAGGAAATCCATAAGTATTTTCGTTTAAACACTTTGGTGTCCAATATAAGAAAATGAAAAAAGGCTGTCATCATTGATGCGGGGAACGTGACGCGAGACGATGCAACGTGAAATTGCCGCAGGCGGGCTGGCCAGCGCGCGTCGAGAAGGGCGGTCTGAAGTTAGCACGAAACGCGAGTGACTCCGCCTCCGACTCCCTTCGCGTCGTACCACACGCGCGCGCTACGGAACGCCGCAATCCGGCCGGTCGTTTCTTTCGCGGCCCAGTCTCGATCTCGCCTCTCGCCTCGGTTTCATCTCGTTGTTCGCGTCCGTTTCTCGCGCCCGCGACGACCGTTTTTCGCTCGCGTTGCGTTCCAGTTTCTGCGGCACGAAACCGCGTTGTTTAAACTCGCGGTGAACGCGGTGAATGGAGTGACTCTCGACGAAAGACGAAGGAAGTTCGATCTGGAGGATCTACGTCTACGCTACAGGGTATTGTTTTTGTATTTTGATGTAATTTTGTAATTTTGTAATTTTCTTTTTCCTTCTAATGGAAAAAGACATGATGAACGCAATGATCTTCCAAGCGTGTCTCTCGATTATTGTTATTGTTGTCATTAATTGAACAATGAGCAAATGATCGCGTCTAATATAACATTTATTTTGCAATTGTTGGAAGTTTTCCTTACATTGGATCATACTTTTATGTTGTCGAGGAATGTCGATGTATGAATGTTGTCGATGTATGTCGAGGAATTGTTGTCAAAAGATACATGTAACACAGAATTGCAACGATAAAGAGCTGAACGAATTGTTTTGTAAAATTTATAAAGTCATGAATCTTGGTGATTGAAATAGTTTTATTTTTTGTTTATACGTTGAATTTGAATGGATTGACCTGATAAATTAATTTTTACGTGGATTTAGTTAAATTCGCTATAATAGCCGAATTGTTTCATATCGATTGTCTGTTTTATGTCTGTATTTTTAAATTAATCTTAAGCCTGTTCTTTCTTGACATGTCTTGATATGTGCTTCTCATTTTTTCTTTTGTTTTTTCTTAAATATAAAGATAGCCTCTTGTTTAGTATACAATTAAAAAAATAGAAGAGAGAGATGTTATCACAGTGGATATAATCATATTGTAAAAAAATATATAAATGTATCGTATGTCATATAAAGTTATATGACATACGATACATTTCCATTATCAGTGGGATCACAGTAAATTACATTTCTATAAATGTGATTTTCATGAATTCCTTATTCCCTATTACTGTAATTTACATTCTTTCTTACAGCATAGAGACACATCTTTTGATGTATGCTTCGTATAGCGAGCGACGGCAAACGTCGCGTTGCATCTTTGCGTATCTATACTATTAATATAATAATATTAATACTATTAAAAACAAAACTATCAAAGTTACCAACAATAAAGCAAAGCTTATAGTAGAACATTATTCAGTTGGTTCGAAGTACTATTTTATCATTGCATTTTATAATATCTCTTTTATATTTTATAATATCTCCTTATGATTAAAAATTATCCTTATACTATCAAAAAATCGATGTGTTCTTTGAGATTAATTTTAAATGTTATAACTGATCATAGTTACCTATCGGTATCCATATTATATTTAGTGTTACGATTTAAAAAACTGAATGATCTACAAAATTGAAATAGTTGATATTAATCTTCCGAAACTGACGGTGGGTCTAATTAAATCCAGTCATTATATTCTTTATGTTACATCTGCAAATTTGAATTGTGATTAAAACAAACTTAGTATTCATATTCTTTTTTATACAATTTTTTATATTATTGGTGCATTGAAATTAATTAGTGCTTTTTAATCATAAATTAAATGAATATTTTAATTATAAGTCCAGCTTGTTATAATAATACTACTCACAAAAATTGAAATTTAATACACAAAGACCAGCTTATAAAAGATGTCTATTCTAATAAATTTGACAATTACCTATAGGAGATACAACTTTTGATTTTACTCTACCAATTCTAAATTACATCAAAAGTTAATAATATTAGGATCAAAGATTGTCATCTCCTCTTCTATAGCTAACAGACTTTGTATCAAATGCATAGCCTTTCTTATTTAGATCTTCCTTCTGTTTTCGCTTTTCATTATCACATTTTTCTTATCATACTCCAATTATCATACTCCATACTCATTTATCATTAAGTTTGTCATCAATTATACAATAAAATTCATAGAATGAAAAATTACGAGTGTATTAGATCTGAGTTTATTATTTCTATGTGATTGTCAACCGGTAGCTACAGAAGAGGAGATGACAATCTTTGTGATTTTATAAATATCATTAACTTTTGATGTAATTAAAAATTGATAAATTTATATTATTTTAATGCGGTTGATGAAGATTGAAGAGAAAAATCAAAACTTGTACCGTTTATTATAAATAATTTTCAAGCTTATTAGAATATATTATATTAACATCTTTTATAAATTCGATATTGATCGTTGTTTATTGAATTTAAATTAAATGAATCTCACAGATCCAACATCAGTATTACATATTGTTTTTGACATCAATTCTGGGGATTAATATTATAGAAATGCAATGGATAATACTCCGGATAGCCGAATTATCTGGCTGGATGATTGGATTGTAAAAATCTGTTGGATAGACTGGATATTACCGGATATCTGTTGCATCCCTATAGTTAATATGTTATTTTCACAATAGATTACTGTAGATTACAAAGTATTTACATAAATTATATGTAAAAAGTATGGAATTATTTGAAAATGTCTCATATCTTTTGAACAAAATCGATTGAATTAATTACTGTAAATTAATGACTACTATTTAATTGGTAAATACTTATTACTTATGCCTGTTTGGTGTGTTAGTGTAGTTTAATTTTAATCTCAGTTCAACTAACTTTTCAACTTTTTCTTGTTCTAAGAATTAGAAAAATAAGTTGAACCGAGATTAAAGTTAATTTACATTGAGAAACAGGCATTAATCCGACATGAATCGAATTATTTCGTAGATTTAGTAATTCAGAGTACGAATCATTGATAGCAAAAGAAAAAGAGAATGCATAAGGTATGCGATGAATGAAATTCCTCATTATCTCTCGTGCGGAAGAAGTAAGTCATCGTTGCCGCGTGCCGCCGGTTTCGCGCGTACATTTTTTTCAGCTATCTCAAAGGTTCGCGGAGGCTCACGAGATCATCGGAGAGTTTGTAAACTTCAGTTCCACACACGATCGGGCCGCGACCGATTTGTAGCGGTCCGGATGGGCGGCTGTTTACTAAACAGCGAGATAAATATTTCTTCTTCTTTTACTGTAACGCGCGCGTAGGAAGATAAGCGAAGTTTTTCTCCGCTTAAACGTGGAAAAGAGTTGGCAATTGATCGGCGACTGATCGGCGCCTCTATAACTTACGTGAATCCGATTAACGTCAGTACATCGTCATTTCATATCGAAACACGTTTCTGCATACATGTCCTTCTTTTCGAGGCATGAAGGAATGAAGTCTCTACAATTCAAAACTGTAATAGCGAATTTGATTGGACGCACTCAGTGTGACTGATATATATTAAATAGTTAATCGTATACAAATTGATATAAGAGTATTTAATATAAATATAAAAGCAAATTAAATCATGAAATTATTAATACATTTTATTTGTGCTGTTAAATAAAATTTGTATTTTATAATTAGAAATATTTGCATTTTACTTTTACACTTTGTACATTAATCAATGTACAACGGCTTTAATGTGCAAACTAGTCCAATCGAATTTACTGTAAGGCTGATTATTTCATATAGTCCGACAAAATTTTTTTAAGCGTTCATTGGCTACTGGATAGAAAGATCCTCTTTACTTCTACAGCCAATCAATATGCTTGAAAAACTTTGACGTATGACACATGAAATATCAACCTAAACATGAAAGTTTGAATTTGCAAGAATTTAAAGCAAACTAGGTATCCTTTAAATGTGTCTTGTTAGCAAAGATATCCCTGGTTTATCGAAGCGAGAAAAGAGATTTCACTTTTTTTTATGGTTGCGAAGCAAATGTATATTTAATTTCTTTTTGCTTTCCAAACTTGATTTATTCTTCTATATCTGGTTATATATGATGCACGATGGTAATGAAAAGCAATGAAAAACGATTTCTATTTATCAATTTATTTATACGTTTATTAATCTGTAACTGGAACCTATGATCTTAAAATTTTTCTTAATTTTTAAATAGTAATGATTTGGAAAACTTTTTATGTTTCGCAATTTCATTTTCCACAGTTGTGTACTTGAAAATTTCTTAAAAGAAATAAAACTGATACCGAAAGTTTTAGCGAATCCCAAGGACCTGCATTGTTGCTTTATCGTAAAAAAATATGTGTTTTTACTTAGGAAATTTACCATAAAAATTTTTTTTATTTGTAGCTACATGTACAATTATACATATATGCATAACTTTTTTAAACTAATAAAAAACAAAGGTTATTTTAACAATTGAAAAGAATATGATACATATAATTTTTACATTAACTTGAATTATAAGAAAAGTCGAAATTTCCTTATTTATGAATATGTGACAGATATATATTTGTATATAATGAAGTAATTACTACAATAAAATTTACTTGAGTAAATGTAGAAAAATTTGAAAACATTTTTCAATATTCTAAAATTTGGAATAAATCTTAAAAAAAGATTGTAGTAATTAAATTTGTCAAGCATTAATTTTCTTGATATAATAAATATAAATATTTTGACCCTTTATAATGTTTTAAAGTAATCTATTAGTTAAATTCATAAATCTTTACAAGCAGCTCGCGTTTCTTTTCTCTAAATTTCTTATAATGAAATCTCATTCCAAAAGACTGAAATACTTTCATATAATGAAATACGTTATTATTGAAAAAGAGTGAAAATATCTGCACTCTTTAGTGAATAAAAGTAGATACAGATTTTCATTCTTTTGGAGTAAGATTCCATTTATTCCAGAAAATAAAATCTCACTCTTCGTTTGAAGTAAATCTCACTCAAAAAGTGAAAATCTGTACTCTTTTTCAAATATTTTCATTCTTTTTCAATATGACAGTACTTTCACTTCTTTGGAGATTATTCCAAGAAATTTAGAAAGTTTAGAATCGGTTTTATAAAAAATAAGAAATTACTTGAAAGTCTTAAGATTTCCTTACGTTTCTATGTGGAATTTAATCTTTTTTAAAAATACGAACACTTATGTACATGTGAGATTCGCGAAATGTTTTTCAAACAAATTGGAAACATTAAAGATTGTAAATACACATTAGTAAGGTTTAAAAAAACGTAAACGTTAAGACCGTCGATTAATAGAACTGTTTACACTTTTCTTATCACCCGTGACCTCTCGCAACAGACCTTTCGTTACAAACAGAATTACGGCGGATTACGAATTAGTGAAGATATAAAAATATAATGTCGCCTAACAAACACATAATCTAATCGAAAGAAGAGAACGAGGGGCAAGCCATTTCCCGTCAGCAGATATATGTATAAATTATCTTTGGCCCGGTTAACCGTGCGAATGTTCGATAAGAGTGCTCCATTAACTCAATTCATGATTCTTCGAAAAAAATTCCTGAGAGTTTTTAAAGAAGCGTTTTAGAATTGGCTAAATCAAAAGGGGAATGACCCCGAAAAATCGTAAACCGCGATCGGGGCAGGATTTACGACACAGACAAAGTAGAGGTTTCTTCTGCCAACACCGGCGGAAGTCTCGATGAGTCCCCGGGGACCCCGAGGTGTCCCTTTCCTCCCAATCACTAAGGGCGCTAAGTGCTCAGCTGTTGCGCGCTCGTCATCCCTCCGAAACCGTCAGCCGACGGTGTGTAGAGACATCGCATCTCTCGTCTCGTGCTGGCGTTCTCGTGAAAATGATGTATCGTCGCCGACATGGTGTGTTGTTGCTCGTTTAGAACACGCTGAAACGTAAATTTTGATATCGCGATCATTTTAAACTCCTTTTTCTTTGTTTTATCTTTTGATTTCGGGAAATATCGGTCTCCCTTGTCAGCATTGTACTAATAATAAATTTCAATTTAATGCCTATTTGTACAGGAATATAACGAATTGTAAGAAGACTTGCCGAACGTGGATGTAAAATTTTTTTAAAAGTTTCTGAACTAAGCCGCATTTGCTATCACACATTATTTTTTTTATATTTCATTTGTATTTTATTTGTACATCATTTTTTGTACAACATTTTTTTTCCTTTATTTCCTTCCTTTCCATAAAATAAAAGACTGATTGGTTGATTCTTTTATGCATTATGCAAAAGTTTATGTTCCAGCCTTTATAAAGACTTTGCATAATGCATAAGAAAATGAAATAATCAAAGTTCTTCATTTCTTTCCTTTCCATAAAAAATAAAAAACTCTGTTAGTTGATTTTCTTATGCGTTTATGCATTAGGCAAAAATTTGTGCTCCTGCCCTAAAAGGCTTTCTACTAATAAGCCATTAGTAATAACTCAGAAGTTAGAAGCTAAGAACTGACTGAATCATAGTTGAATGTGAGAAGAATAATCAACTATAATTGGTCAATTTAGCTTTTAATTTCTGATTTATTACTAATAGCCTATTGTAGAAAGCCTCTTTATATAAGAATTTGAAAAAGAGAAGAAGAGTAAATTGAATTGAAGATTAAAGTTAATCTATAACGTTAGGAAATGGATTGAATTAATCCGACAAATTTGTTAGCCTGACTGAATCGATTCCAGTCCAGGAAAATACGTATACTACAAAAAAAGAAAGAAGAAAATGCATCAGGAATAACGGATGCTTCGATGATTAAGTTCGTACATTTGTTTTTGTTTTTTCTTTCTCTTGATTGCATTCCGAAGGCCACGACGAAGTTAATCTCTTATCAGTTGTAAGACCGTGTATGTTGAATTATTATTTTGACACTGCGAATGTATGGGTTTTCGCTGAGTCAGCTGACCTAATTCGGGACAGCATTACATTAATGATTGCGTCAGCTTTTCTTTCGGCATTGTACATGGATTGCGAATCGGGCAGAAAGCTGACAAGCGGTAAAAATTATGTACAGTCTAACTTTAGCGTGATACATATCATATAGATTTTGATAAAGAAATTTTTAAACATAATTTTTGGCAATAAAATTAAAAATAACAACATAAACAAGATTACTTATTATCTTTAGTGATTACATACATTCAAGAGTTCAAAAATAACTTTAATATATTGTTTTTTGGTTTAATATAAATATATTTATATTTAGCGAACAAATGATATATTAATAATTAATTATAATATGTATGTAATCATATATAATAAATGTAATAAAATATTTATAAAAAAAAAAATCATAAAAATATTTGATTCCATTTGCCGAAGTTGTAAATTTAAATTTGATTTTCGAATTATAATTGTGAATTGTAATTTTTTAAATTTATTATTTTATACATATGATTATACATATGATTAAATGATTTGTTTCTTGCTAAGCAATCAATTTGATAGTTTTCCAATTAATTCTTTCTCTTTCGCGTACAAGCGCATTAGAAATTATTATTATATATATTATATATATTAGAAATTATTTACGCAGAAGATGAAAAGAATGTGTATATGTTTATTCTGTTACAGATTTTCCAATCGTGTTTTCCAGTTCAAGAAACTTTCGCATTCGGTTATCACGAAGCATTTTTCTTGAAAATGTAAAGTGCGAAATCGCAATCTAATCTTGCGATGTACTTTTCCACCACATTATATCCAGGACAATTTTAGCTCTCTTTAACGATTTGCGGTATTGTATGAATTGTGTCGCCGATGTGAAACGAGTGTTTTACTTATCACGAACGATTCCGGGAGCATGAAACGATCGCATGACTTCGAAGTGTCAGTGAAACAAGAGTCTGGACATTAAAATCTTGACGAACTCAGAGGCATTGTTCTACCCTTATCTGTGAAGCCGTCGGCGGTGCAATTGTGGATAGCCCGACTGGTGATTGGGTACAGCTGCATCGGGTAAATGCAGCGGCAACGGCCGACGCCTTTATGAATTACGTGGACAGGTCCAGGATGGTCTCACACATCATCCCTGTTTCTGGGGTAAGTGGAAAAATGTTCGCGAAGACATCTTTTATACTCGTTTCTATTAATATAGATTAACTCTCTAATCTCGATTCAATTTTACTTTTACTTTTCATCTTTTTTTAATTCTTATACTTGTTTCTACCAATGTAGATTAACTTTAATCTTGTTTCAACGTACTCTTTATCTTTTTCTAGTTTTATGAATTAGAAAAAGATGAAGAGTAGAACTAAGATTGAAGTAGTCTACATTGGAAATTAATTTATATGAAAATTAATCTTTATCTTTTTTTTATTCTTAGAATTTGAATGGAGAGTTAGTCGAATTGAAATTAAAATTAAACACTGGTAGAAACGCGTATTAGAATTAGATGAGTTGAACCGAGAAGATCAATTTACATTGATGGAAACGGACATTGAATACAAACTTGATGAATTAATTTGATCTAACATTTTAATCTAATTAAGTACGTATTTTTTTGCTATATGATTAAAGAAAAAATTTCTAATTTCTTTATATTATTATTAATATAATAAATAATTTTTTATTTGATTTCATAAAATCTTCAAATCAAAGAAATTTTTGTCTTTAACTGTATAGCAAAGCAACATTTCTTTAAATCGAAAAAATCTTTCTTTGGATGTAATTATTAATTAGAACTATTTTAATGTTTAATTTTTATAAGTATCGATTTAAACGGCAATGTTTAAATAATCGATATAATATTTGTGGATACCATATTTGTGTGCCAAAAAGGTCGAAACACGCAATCGATTAAAAATTTTTCGCGAAGCTGAATAAGAAATTTAAATCAATTATTTAGATACTCGGGAATGAGATACTTGAAATGCCTCTAGTTTCACTTGTAGTGATAATAAGTTATTAATATAAAGTATGAACCATTGTTATTCTATCTACATTTTGGCAATCGTTCTTTCTGTCACTCGGTTTTTTTATGAAGATTTTCTCCATTTCATGGAATAACGTGGAGAGACGATCAAACTTAACGTCGTCACACATGCTCTCGTTATCTCTTCGAACAAGAGAACGAAAAAGAAAACGAATCGGGCGGGTCATAACCTCAAAAATTTCACAACGACTCGCGATTCACATCTTCTACGACATTTATTCCACAATGATTTCACGCAATATTTTGGAGCAGCTTTATCGAGATAATTTATTCTATCGATACGATTTTATTTAAAAATTCTCTTTGCTTATCTTAGACGTCTTTTTTATATCTTGAAAAATAGTTGCGAACTTTGGAAGTAAAAAATAACAAAAAGAAAAGTTAAATAGAATTTAATGATTTCCAATTTACTGAACGAAATTTCGGTAAAGAATTTTCTTGTTGGAAATTTCAGTATCGTATTTTCAGTATATTATTCGCATGAATCTATGATGTTATTAGCATGTCATATCTTCAATTTTGATTTTTCTTTATAAAACATCCGGAATCTTTTTCATTTTCATAAGGAATTGTAGAACTATGAAAAGTATTACTATAAGAACTGTCATTATTTGTTTTAGAATATTATTTAGAATATCGTGCTAACTTCATAGATCCTAGGTATTCACGTGCGGTTTATCCACGACGTGATCGCTGAATGGATTAAAACTGGGTTATCGAGCGTGTCGTTCCATCGATCAGTCTAGTGTAGCGATCAACTTTGCGAACACGAGCTAAAAATCGATAACAACTCTGATTACCATCCGCTCGTTAGCTCGTTGTTCATTCGAGTTCCAAGGATTTCAACGAGATGATTAAATGGGAAGATGAATATTAAAACCTTCTATATTCTTCTAAAAATTAGATATTTCGATCGTTCAACAATTATTAGAAATTTATACGAAATGAACGATTTTGCTATAAGATCTTTTGCTGAATATAAATCTGAAAATAATTTCGTTGTATTATTAAAATAATTTTGTTGAAAACTCAAAAATTACAAGCCGCAAAAAATTTTATATTCTGCAGTGAGTTTCCAACCAAATTTTTAAAAAATCTATCCAACAAAATTTTTAGATCTTTTAGCAAAATAATTCTTTCCGTGATATAAAATAAGCTGTATATTACCTTAATATTACCTTTTGTAGACTAACTTAAAAAGAAGTAGACGAGTTATATTAGTTCCTACAGTTAAAAGTCTTATTATTTAACTAGAAATTTATAAACATTTTCTTGTTACTATCTCAAAAAATTTTTAGTAAATAAATTTAAAGAATAGTTAATAATTTAAAGGAAAAAAATTTAATCTTCTACACGATTTTTTGTGTACATAAAACATACATTAAAAAGTGATTGCAAAATTATTCTCTTTGACCCTGTTTTAACATATGTTGGGATGTAGATAATTTTTAAACGATTCATAATAACTTGCTTTCAAAACATTTCCTGAGAGTAGTTCATGAATATCACGCAAAAGTATCGTGCGAAAAGTAACAGACGAGAGTAAGATACTTTTTATCGAAACTGCGATAATAAAATATTACAGTCTGCTTTGTCGTTGATCCATGCCGATCTCTTGTAACATGAATTTACCACGAGGTTTTTGAATGTCCATGAGAACATTAATGTGCGCAAACAGGATTACGATTCTGCGAATTCTGACCGGAAAACGATAAGATCTTAGGAATTATTTTTAGTATGATAAAACTGACGCGATGAATTATAATTATAAGTTTTTATGCATTATAATTATAATTTTTTTCTTAAATTTTTAACGATTGCATATATATGTATTGCTATATGTATTGAGTTCCTAGTTATAAACATACATAAAATTCAATCTCTTTGTATTTAATTCTTAAGCATTATAACATGTATACATCTTGTTATATTATTTGAAAAATAATCTTGGTAGAAATGTATGCAGTTTTCCTAGACACCCATTTTCTGTCTATTATTATATATTCTCATTATAACAATAATGTTATAACAATAATGTATAGGAAATAGGTAAGAATTTTGATAAGAATTTGATCTAGTAGCTCTCTAAAGCAATTCCTGGAAAAAATATATGCTTGTCCAGTTATTTCTACTATTAATAAAATATTATTTAAATTATATTATATATCTAATTATATAATATTAATAAAT